TCAAAATGCTATACTTCTTTTCTGCATTAATTATCTTTTCTCGTGTCGATTGGTTTTCAACTGTGACCTGTAGAGCGACTGCAGTCAGGAAATTTTTAATTTTTTGACTCATTTGAACCCCGAACATACATTTTAAAAACAGTATACTATAATCATATATGTATATATGTGTTTATTAAGTACCACGAAATATGTAATTGAAAATAAAAAGAATTATGAGTATATTACTAAACCCTTATTATTTTGCTCTTTATTCAATTCCGGCTAGATTTACTGAAAAGTTTAACAACTTTTATATTAGGCCTTGATAATGTTATGCCAATTTTTGGCAATAAATCCTAATCCCTAACACAACAACAACACAAAAAAACAAACAATGAGATAAAGTTGTTTTGCATTTAATTGCGAATAATTATAACAATATATATTTGACAACATCGTCTCTTTTTAAGATGGGACAATAAAACCGGTCTCACAAAAAAAAAATGATCATAGCAGACCAATACTACAGTTGTTGTTTTAGCCACTGTTTCTGTGTGTGTTTTATCATTGATTTTCGCAATGAAGAAGAAGAAATCGTCGAAATGAAATTTTTCGCCAAACAAAAAAAATAGACCAAAAAATTGTCAATGCCCTCTTAATGGCATCATCGCATATTTGCAACTCGAAACCTCGGTGCAGTGAAACAGAAAGAAAGCGAACAAAAACGAAATCGTTTAAAAAATTAGTGGTAGCCGTAAAACGGAGTTTGTTGTTGTTGCTGTTGTTACCATTTGAAATTGGTTTAATATTTGTTAATTTTTAAACAAATAAATTATTTGTTTTCGTTTAGCGGACAATACAGAAAAGTAAGTCCAGTAAAACAAGTAGGTGAAAACTGGAAACTGGTCAATTCGATATCTTTTTTTTTTTTTGTATTTTGCGGTTAAAAGAAAGTAATATTTATATTTGAAATAATTTATATGATCTCTTAATGGATTAATAATAGTAATTTGCATCCAGACAGTGGAAAAAATGGAAGTGCAGAAATGGACTCGAAACTCAGGGAACTAGAAGAGATTGAATGTTATTTTTCTCAACTCAATTTAAGGCAATTTTAAAAGGAAACAACAGAGTTTTTCGTCACTTTATAGGGTAGGGAAAAGAACTTCTATACTATTGGCTTTTTAATATTTCGTTGTATAGAATCAGTTATTAACTGTGAGTGTATTAAAAGATGTTCTCAACGCATTCAAAACTATATTTTGAAAGAAAAACGGGGTCGTTCTATTCTAAAGTTACGATATGTCGCTGATAACTAGCGCCATCTATAATTCAATTTAAATTGAATTATTCAAGCAATATAAGTTTTAAATATTGACATACAATAGCAACTAATTAAATTTATTTTTTAAAGGTTAACTTGAAAAAGAAGGACGAAAAAATGAGAAATATATATATAAAGCTCTCTAGAGTCACTCTTGTTTGAAAAATTAGTGTGGGACAGAATCGCTCGAAATAGATTACAAAGCAAAAATACTACTTTGTAGGTTCAGATTAAGGACAATGTTTTTCAACGTGTTTGGTTTGGTTTCGTTTACTGCTATGTTTTTGTGAAATTACACATACATACATAGAAATACAACAACGGTATGACAATAATTAAAAGAGTGCTCGGCAAGAGTAGAATCTGCTTGTTTTCGAACTTATTTCTTTAAAACGAGCAAAGCATGCTCGCCCTTATGCGAGGGAAACCGAAAAATTAAGTTTGCTCTTATTATCTTCTCTATTCACAGAAGTGCTCCTGCTCGACTTTGAGCGAGTTTCGCTTTTTACTCGAATTCGAGCTAGTTTTTCAAAGGTCTGGTACATATACTACAAATGCCAGCCTGTCATATGTTTGGTTGGTAGAGATAGGCGACAATGCTCTCCAGATCATTCGGCTAGAGCAGTATCTCCTCAATTTGGACTCCCACAAAATGCACTTTTTCATGCATATTTTTTTTTTAAATCGCCTAGACTGGCTGACCTAGAATCAACGCCCAGACGAAACGGCCGAAGCTAGAATCTTAAATTTTTGCACGAGGGTCAGTCTCGATGCGTAGGCATGTGATAAGGCTGGGTTTTTTTTTTAAATTTGTACTAAAAGAGAACAAAAAGTTATAAAATTTACTAAAAATTGAATTCATTATATTGGACAAACGGAATGAGCTAGAACTTTGATATTCAGAATGAGAGTTACAGATGAAGTGCAGGATAGATGTACCAAAAGTTTATAAAAAGTTCTAAAATAGTACCATTTGATATTATGAGAATCAAGGTTAGAAAGTAAATATAATATATGAAGGTGGTGGTCTCGGACTTTACCAAGCAATCTTAGTGAAGTTCCTTTCTGGAAAGACAAGTGGTCAAAAAATCCAATGTGAACGGCTTAATGGTCTTGCTAAATGCGGAATGGTTGTAAAAAGTGTCAGGTAGTTTTAAGAGACCAATGAGTTTTTATACCCTCAGTTTTATGGCTAGAGAGGGTATATATCATTTGATACAGTCAAAATGTGCATCGTCGAAATAATGATTTTAGACCCTAGGAGTCGATCTAGCGATGTCCGTCCATCTGGCTGTTGCGTACGATAACTCTCGACGGGAGGATACGATTTGGTACAAACTTGGTACGTCGTAATATTATTATCAAACATAAATCGAGTTCGGAGATGGTCCACTACTTCTGGTACCTCCCCCACAAAATGTCAACATTTTCAAAGAAAATAATTTACTGCACAGAAAGAAAAAGCATCATTCGATTTTGCTCCAACTTTACAAATCCTAATATTTGGATCAGTGTTAGGTCAGGTGTGAAAATGAAAATGTTCCACTCCACCAAGTAAATATTTCGGTCCACTCCTTCTGGTACCTCCCCCACAAAAGGTCAACGTTTTGAATATCCATGAAACTCATAAAACGCGAAATTAACACTCGATTCAATTCAGATCTGGCATATTTTAACATTTCTATCAACACAAGATCTGTTATAAAAATGGTAGAGATGGGATTCCGCGTGGTAGCTCCCCCTTAAAGGGTCAACGTTTTGAATAACAAAAACGATCATAAAATCCGAAATAAACATCAGGTTCTCCTCATATTTCACACATCCCATTATTCCTACTAACACAAGATCTGCTGTGAAGATGGAATATATCTGTCCACTCCTTCTTGTACCTTCCCAACAAAGGGTCGAAATTTTGAATATCCATGAACCTCATACAAGGCGAAATTAACATCCGTTACCATTCAGACTTGGTACATCTCAATATTTCTATCAACACAAGATTTGTTATAAATATTGTAAAGACCGGAACAATTCTATCGGTAGCTCCCCCACATAGGGTTCAAGATTTTGAAAAACAAAACGCTCAAAGAAAAAGGAAATACACTTCCAACTCTCTTCAAATTTTACATATACAAACATTTTTGCGGACCCCTTCTGATACCTTACCCAAAAGGTCACATTTTTCAATGCTTTTATTTGTCTCAATTTGCCAAAACAGCCAGCGATTCTCTATAACTTCCAATGTCTAAATATTTCTCTCAACCAGAAACCTAAGATGAATATGGAATTTACGATTTCGCATAAAATTGGATATAAATGTTCGATTTTCTTGTGATTTTGCCCATACCAATGTTATTATCTGTATCAGGTGGAGTATGAAAATGGAATACTTCCGTCGAGTAACTCCTCGAAATACTCATGTCAGGACCAACAAAGTATGTATATTCTTGATCAGCATAAAATTCTAAATCGATTTAGCGATGTCCGTCGTCTGTCTGTCTATCTGTCTGTCCGTCTGCTGTAATCACGCTATCTTTCGAACGAATTGATATAGAAGGCTAAAATTTTGCACACATGTTTATTTTTCCCGAAGGCAAGTTAAGTTCATAAATGGGCCATGTAGGTCCACGTCTTCTTATAGCCCCCATATAACGGTGCCTCCCGATATTCGATAGTTTGATGATTTTAGCGACATTATTCAACGGAATCGTTTCAAATTTGGTATTTGAAGTTCGTAATGGGAACTACAGTTTGTCTATGCAGGTCCACGTCTTCGTATAGGCCCCATTTTTGGTACAATACCCACCGAAATTGTTTGAGATGTCGTATTTGAAGTTCGAAATGGATATTACAGCCTGTGACAGAAAATTGTCTATGCTGGTCCAGGTCTTCGCACAGCTCCGATATAACGGAACCTCCCTATATACGATATTTTGATGAATTTAACGACATTAGTTTCGAATTTGAATATGGTAATGGTATACATCTGTAATGGCAACAATGCATCTGTAGGTCCACGGCGTATAGACCCCAATATAACGGCTATATTTGGGTTTTTTAAAATTTTAACAGAATTTGTTAAGGATTTTATATTTTGAAAATTTCCAAATGGTGGAGGTGCCCGATTCTTATGTGAAACTAAGCAATCTTTTTGGGTATAATTTGTGATTATAAGTTCCAAATTTCAGGTTTTTAAATAGTGCATCATGGTATAAATTGTTACTGTGAACTATTTCCAAAGCCATATTCGTTTCGTCTCTTTCTAAAACAATAAATGCTATGCTATCTCTGGGCCGACCAAAGGCCATTTCATGTTCTCTGCCTAACATATGGGTTCATACATATGTGTCTATGCCTTCACATGTTGTTTTTTAATTAAGACCTTACAATACGAAAAAATGGCGATTTCCTCCATTGTATTGAAGCAAAAGTAGGCGTTTCCTAATGAAACCCAACAAAAAAACTTATAGAAGCAAGACAAAACGAAGAAGAAAAAAAAAACATTTATAAATTAAATATAAACAATACAAATGTACAAAACGAAAACAATAAACAAAAACAACGAAACCAAATACCACAGTAATTTAATAATCAATTAAATTGCCAATCGCTTCCATTCCATTGGATGAAAAGATCAATTGTTTTGCAAATAAATGGAGAATATGTAGCCAAAATGGCTGGCTGACTTGCTTACCTGTCCCGTTGCCGCTTCCAAAATCACATAGACCAGCAATATGATTTCTTTTTCATCCGAGCCCAAACCGGGTCCATTTTGTCCACAGGTTGCCACATAGAATGACACAACGTGGTCGGGAACCTGCATTTTTTCTGCTTTCAAACCGTTTCGATTGAGGGGGTAGAAAATTTGATTTTTGTTGTTGTTTATTTTTAATAAAAATTTACTAACTAAAATTTAAGTAAATTTTGTTGGTGTTGTGTGTACGTGTGTGCGTGTGCTTCTTTAGGATGCCAAAACGTTGCAGTTGTAGAGGACCTTAACGTTGCGGCTGCAGCTGCTATTATTCTTGTTCTGATGATGTTTTTCTTGTGTTTTCCGATAATGATTACAAATCATTTGGACTAAATTTGTTTTTGTAGTTGTTGTGATTGTTTTAAGTGTTAATTTTGTACTAAAAGTACCAATTATGGTTTTGGTACATTATGTCATTATCTGTAAGAAAACAGAAAAAAAATAAATGAAATAAATATATTAATTAAACAAATTATAAGAAAAGAAAAAAATAAATAAATATGTTTAATATAAAATCAATGTTTAATTAAAAAATACATAAGGAAAAATAACAGTTATAATTGAAGAATTTTGGTTGCTTGTCGGCCAGCATTGCAGTCCCAATACCAAAATTTAAATGCCAACTTATTTACCATAACAAAGTATCCCAGTATGACGTAGATCTAACCAAAATAACAAACTACATTCGCATTTGCTGAATTATAAAATATTAATTTTATTGCTTGGGATTAGAGTAAACAAGGTTTCGTTTTTTAGTAAGTTCCAGGTAACAAATTGCCCATATTTCCGGTACTAAATACCGGCGGTCGTGTTTTGAAACAGTATTCTGCTTTGTATTTTCAAACGTTAGTATTAGAATAAAAATATTTAAAATGAGAATCTTTGGATTTTCTGAAGTAAAAATGGTCTCCTTTTTTATTGTTTTTTTTTTTTTTCTTTTTTGTTTTGATTTTTCAATGGAATCGTCTGAAATTCTACGCAAGGAGTTCTTCGTGACTACTTTACTTCCTGTAGGAGAATTGTCTATATAAGTCCACGGTATCGTATAGCCCAAATATAACTATACCTCCCCACATTTTTCAATGGAATTGGCCTTAAATCCACATGGAGTTCCTTCTGAGTATTTTCTATATAATTGCCGCTGGCAGAATTCTGCAGCGTTTTAATATACTTGTAGTAGATAGCGAATAGCCATATGTTTATTTTATTCCTAATTTAGCAGTAAGTCACGCTGTATAGATTTTAAGTATTTTATCAATAAATATGGCCTTAGGCAAAACGGAAAAAAAAAAGTATTTTCTATATAGGTCCACGATATCGTATAGCCCCCATAAAATGATGCCAACCGATATTAGGTATTTTGATGATTTTAGACACATTTTTCAATGCATACGCCATAATTTTCACATTTTTTTTTAATTTTATTGAATGAAAGCAAAAAATGTCGAAAATAGCATCAAATTTAAGAATAAGTTTAGATTTGTTCGAATTGGTCATCTTTGACACGAATTATGGCCTTCAAACGGCCAATGAAACCGTCACACGATCCCCCAATTTCGCTCTGCGATATTTTGGCCCATTCCCGGCGAAACGCTTGCTTGAGGTGATCGACACTTTGGTATTTTTTAGTGCCATCCTTGCTTTCCAAAATTCTCCAGACACAATAGTTCAACGGATTGGTATCCGGAGATTTTGGTGGCCATTGTGCGCTGGAAATGAAGCGAGAACCTCATTTTGTAACCATTCTTGGGTGGGGCGTGCTAGGTCCTGTTGGAATGTCCAAGGTCTGCAGCCAAAATGTTTGCGTGCCAAAGGCAGAATATTTTCGGGATAATATTCGGATTTTTTCTGATGCCACGGTCGATTAATACGAACAGAGAGCGACCACCGGCTGTTGAGGCGGCCCACAACATCACCATGGCCGGCGCTTGAGTTCTAGTGGCCAACCGAAGGTGCACATTATTAGCTGACCTCTTTGACAAGTAAACACAATTATTTTTATACCCTCGACCATTCTGCTTGTAACTCCTCGAAATATTAATAATAGACCCTACAAAGTATATATTTATTTTGGATCAGCGTAAAATTCTAAGACGACCTAATGTCCGTCCGTCTGTCTGTCTGTTGTCTTTCGAACGAATTGAGATAGAAGGCTAAAATTTTGCATAAATGCATAGTTTACCAGTAGGCAGATTAATTTCGTAAATGGGCCATGTCGATCCACATTTTCGTATAGCCCCCACAAAGGGCACCTCCCTATAGTCGGTATTTTGACGATTCCAGTAACATTATTCACCGGAATCGTTTCAAATATCGTATCTTAATTGGTACTTCAACTAAAAAAAATCGTATGCTGGTCCACGTCTTCGTATAGCCCCCACATGACGGTACATCCCGATACTCCGTATTTTCATGATTTTTGCTACATTATTCACCGTAATTGTAACAAATTTCGTATTTGAAGTTCGCAATGGGCACTACAGCCAATGACAAAGAAATTCGAATGCCGGGCCACGTCTTCGTATAGTCCCCATATAAAGGTTCAATTTTTCAAGTTCCTTCGAAATGGTGGTGGGTATTAAAAGTTCGGTCCGGCCAAACTTAGCTGCTTTTTATACTTGTTTTTGTTTACAAACTGCTGGACAACGAGTGTTTTCTCATCGGAAAAAAACAAATTCGGCAGTTTACCACTTTCGGCCAAGCGAAGCAACTCTTTAGCTCTTTTTAGTCTATTTTCTATTCTGTTGCGGTGTAAGTTCTAGCTCTTTTTGGAATTTCAATGGCTTTACTCCGAGCTACTTTATTATTATATATTTGCCGAAAGGAATATTATTATAATATTGCGATATGTTCAGCTCACGAGCCATTTTTCAGCCACTGCGATGCGGATTTCGATCAAGTCGCTTCTTTACTTTTCGAACCATTTCTGCTGATGTTGCTGTTTTCTTCGGTCCACTTCCTTGACGTCGGGCTACGCTACCAGTATCACTGTAACAAGCGATGGTACGAGACACAAAAGATTTATTCACATTTAAATGCTGGAGTGCTCTAACGATAGCCACTTGTGGGTTTCCAGCCAAATATAAAGAAATCACACTACCACGCTTGAATTCCATCACGAATAACTTTTTTTCAGGAAAATTGTCACCAAAATGCTTTTGTACGCTTGTAAACAATATAATGAGCTGTCATTAGAATAATCTTAACAGCTGTCGGACGAGTGGCTTAGAAACGACAGCAGTCTGAAGTTGGTTGCAGTTTTTTCATCTCACCCTGTTTTATATAGTTTTTAGTTTCTATAGTATATTGACTCTTTAAAGCCTAAAAATATTTTTAAGCGCTTAAAAGTAAGCCACAAAAATTCTAAATTTATGGTGAGAAAAATTCACATATGGTTTAAACTTCATGTGTCAACAAGTCTAAATTAAATAATAATATTTATACATAACATGGACGAATTGAATGACAACTATCGAAAATATCGAATGGGAAGACAATTAATATTTTGCTGGCACTTCTCTACCATCCCATGAGTCACAGCACATAGTTGAGAAAACAGCTCGACTTTGAGCCAAAGCTTTATCCATGATTTGAACACATCAAAAATCCAGATTCAAGATAAGAGATATTTAAATGTCTACCTTTGGCATTTTTCATAAGATTTTAATTGTTTAGGCATTTGAATGTACTTGCTCATATTCAACATAGGCCCAATTATAATACATTCTTTCAAATTATTTCAAGTTGCAAATCTAAATGTAACGATGACATTTAAAACTAGCAAAGTAGTTCAGTAAATCATTTTATTTATTTGTTTAAAAAAACACGTGCGAAAATTCAACGATCTGAATGAAACTGTTTGAGTGGTAGTAGACATCAATCTAATCGCTGATGAGGGCGACGATGGTGATTCAACATTGGACGAATAAAAATGTAAAAGTAAATAGCCAAGAAATGCGCAAAGTCATCGTTATATTATAAAAAATAAAGAATAATATTTTAAATTGAAATGTGGATTAGCAGTGTTTGTAATAAAGGAGAATAATGTGGTCATAAAAGCACTTAATTTTTAAAATAATTAAGTGAAGAGAATGGAAAAGGGTATTAGAGAGAGAGGGAAATCTCAGGCTGACATTTGAGAGACATTACCTCTATACAAAGAAAAGAGAAATTGATTACAATTGAAATAGAAAAACTTCATTTTTATTTTTGAGAGAGAGAGAAAGAGAACAAACGAATTCCTAATTCTCATTCCATGAATATATTAATGATATTATTTATAAAATAAATTAAAACAAAAATACTTTTCTCCATTTCCTCATTTATGTTTCAGTGGAAGAGTCTTAATATTAGCTATGCCCAGACAGTAGTTCAAGGAAAAGTCAAATAAAATGCATTCAACATTCAGCCACATAAAACAACTAAACCAGAGCTGTTTTCCGGGGTTAGAAGTTTGTTTATGTTTGCCGCCGCTTAACATTTGACCCCCTCTGACCATTGAACGGTAACATCCGGAAACATATTATACCACACACACACACACACATAAACACAACATGTGTGTGGCATGCCAGCCTTCTCTGTTTCACGAATATGTTGCAACTTAATTACAATGCTTGTTAATTTTGTTTTAAGATTTCTTAACAAAAAAAAAAAACTTTACAAAATTATGAAAGTCTTGTTAAAGTTTCCTTTGTTTTTCCATTGTATTTTTTTATTATTACTTTTTTTTATTTATTTATTTTATTTTTCCTATGTCATAAGAAATGAAAACACGAAAACAATAACAACACACCGAAGATTTAATGTCCATGAATGATTTTTATAAAACACAAAATTGTAATGATGATGAAAACATGCCCAGAGCAGTAGCTGGCTGAAGTAGCAGCAGCAACAGTGAAATCATAAAGATATCTTGATGTACTACATAAAATAAAACGAGGTGGGCGTAATAATTGAGGGAAGAAATTGAAGAATTGATTTGATGATTATGAATATTTTACTCATCAAATTTTGAAAAATAAAGAGAGTATTTTATCTACAACGTTGATATACAGGTTGAGATAAAAAGCTGCAACAAAGTCAAACCATAGACAAATAAAGGTATAGATTAAAAAGGTTTAAAATTTTCCCTTCCGGCAGATGTCACTATTGTTGATCTTGGGCCAATCAAGTCACTCAGAGCTGGTGAAGTCACTCGACTTCGAAAACAATTTATTCATTTTTCTGCTATTTTAGTTATATATTTTTATATTTCACGGCATAGTTATGTAATGTCAATGTAAACAAAGTCACTGTTTCATTTTTACTTGATAAATAATAAAAAATCATAAAAATATTCAATATTTTGTATTTTGAGAGAATTGAGTGAGTCTTCTGAACCTATCTCACAGCATGAACGACATCTATTGAAGCACTTT